TATAGTCACACGGGTGTGTATCTATTGATCTAATAATTAAAATTCAAATATACACCTGTGTGTTTTCTGTTTTCACTATTGTATCACACGAGCACATATATACATAGATGTGTGTTGATTTGAAGGTAAAAATTACATATGCATGTATTGCACATACCAAAATTTCCCTAAGAATCTTTAGGATTATTTAGGTAGTAGCATCACCCGTCTAAAACTAGGTTAGGAATGTAAGGCAAGTAGCTAAAAATTATACAACAATATAGTAAATAAATAAAACTGATTTATGTTGCTTAAAGCTACTACTATTTGGATAGAGCCCAACTATGTGTGCAAACATATTATTACAGGAATGTATTTTGATGCATGGAATATGCCTTAGTTTGGTAAGATTTAGCCAAACTAATTTTGTTGTTTGATAAGTAATTACTTCAAATAATTTTTCAAGTCAACATTGGAGCTTTTTGAGATGACCTTTAAATTTAGTTATGTTGATATCAAAAATCGGATCAAACACAAAAATATCGTTCGAATTTTGTATAAAAAACGAAGAATGTTTTGATAATGGATGAAGGTTCTTTTTCCTTGATTTTTCGGGAGCGTTTTCCCTTTTTTTCTTTTTTTTCTTTTTTGAAATCCATAATAATGTTCTCTGCTTACAACAATGGAANTGGTCACTAATAGAATATAATAATATAATAACACAATTATGATAAATGTGACGAAATGCATTTAATGTAACATGACTGCAGTGGGGCCCAATGGGTTTGACTTACGGTTACGATCGACTCCTATCTTGTCGATAATAAATGGCCTTAACTGGAGATGGCTTCTTCATTGGGTCGGCTGATTATTTCAGGTTCTGCTCGACTCGAAAGTGGACGGGTCTGATTTTTGAGGACTTGGTCGGTCGAAAACATACCCGGCCGAAACCTGAGGATCAACTTGAAAAATCTATCACTCGTGTGTTTATATTCTTGCATATTTTAGGCCTCTGTTTGCTTTGCCACGTCACTTTTTAATTATTAGTGACGAAATTGGGTATCATCAAGTTACTTTACATATCAAACAATTAATTATTTCAGAAATTCTATAAAGCCATTGGATGGCTCCCTTATAGAGTCATCCATAACTTTATGTATTGACACATGTCCATGTGTATCTAATGCAGGACACGTGTCAATATATCATTTATGAATAACTATGGATTACTCCATAAGCCGAGTCATCCGATGACTCCATATCAAAATCGTTAATTATTTATCAGATACTTTGGATAATTAGCTAATCCACATAATTTGTCAAATGTACTTATTTAATCAGTTATTAATAATAAACTAATTGAATCATTGGATAATTAGTGTCAAACAAGATTGCATACTCCAAATATTTCATCTTATCCTGTTGTGTACAAATTGTTATATTTTACCGAGTATCGAATCAAGGATTCGTTTCCCGGGTCGATCTCTCGAGGAAGGCGGTTCGGAATCTAGCTTTGGTGTCGATTACACACGAAAAGAAAATAACTCCTAAACACTCTAATCAGAATGGGGGTCGAATAATTATCAACTAAGAAATAAAATAAAAACAATAATCTACCTAAGAATATAATGAAACAAAGATGGGGAAGCTAGGGAATCGGGGATAATTAATTCAAGTTCTAGCAAAGCCGGGCAACTAATCGTTCGGTTCGAGATTGACACTCTCGCTTAAACATCTAGAGGTTCGCTCCCAATAACTCTTCGTAACAAGGGATTGAACATAGATGAACAAGCTTGGGCATACAACACAGGCCAAATATCCCAATCCCAATAACTTTTCGTAACAAGGGACGGGTCATCGACAAACATGTATCTCAATCTCAACCCATAGATTATTCAGTTACGAAATCATCTACCTCATGCGAGCCTAGGTCTACGACTTCTCCCCTTTCAGTTCTAAAAGTCGCTAATTAACTAGAAGGTGATTAATCAACTAATCATATAGAATTGACAAACCCTAACTCGACAAATTAACATTCAATTGTATCGCAAGATCGAAGTGTCACTCTTCGATTATATCAATCAATCAAGCACAAATTCATCAATTCTGAATCAATTCAACTCACATAAACATGAACAAATCGAGCCCGACAAATGCACGTCAAACAAGAACAATCATCCCCTATCCCAATCGGATTTAGCTAAGCATATCAAATTCAACACACGAACACATATCTCCAAAATCAACCATTTTCATGAATTAATTCAAAGAGAAAAGAAATTCTTACAATTTATTCAATCCAAGTGTTGAACCTTCATACAAGCTTGAATCCAAAATGCAAAGAAGAAGAAGAAGAAAAAAATGAAAATAAAAGTGAAAAGAAGAAGAAAAAAACGAAGAAGAAGAAGAGAGGGAGGAGAAGGGGGGTTTTTTGTGTTTTTCTGGACCTAGGGTTCGTCCCCAGGAGGGGGAGAGTCCAAGAATGGAGAAGAAAACGAGTTTTTGGGGTTTTTATACAATTTTGGGACTTGCAGGGGGCCTTAGCGCCGCTAAGGGGGAGGGGTTAGCGGCGCTAGGGGGGGTTAGCGGCGCTAGGGGGGGTTAGCGGCGCTAATGCTCGGACAGCGGCTTTTCTCTTCAGCTCGCTAGTATATGGCAGCGGCGCTAGGTCCCTTAGCGGCGTTAGCGACCCCTAGCGGCGCTAACTCAACAAAACTGCACTTTTTGTCCCGTTTCGGCTCGCCTAACCTCCCCCGGTCGACTTATAAGCCCCCAACTGTCTCGTGCACTCCCGGGTTCCGCCCGAGCTCGAACATTGTCCTTCACATGTTGGTCCGCACGACTAGCTGAACGATCCTAGAGCAGCGTTTCGAATACCTGAAACCAACACCAACCGAGAAAACACGGAAACAAGAGAATAGGAAGAAAGAAATACGAAAAACACGAAAAATACAGAAATAACACTAAACGCACAAAATGACTCAAATGACCGGAAAAACCTACAAAACAACCTAGAGTGGGAAAAGAAAGATAAACAAAATACCACAAAAGTAGTAACAAAAATGGGACTAACATATCCCATACCCATAGGTGGTGTACCCACGTGAATTTTAAGCCTTTAGAACAACACATACCCAAACGGTGCAAATAAAAATATAATGTAAATTCATTTACTTCAGCCTTTATATTATTTATTAGTATACAGAGTTTCGGGTACTAATGAATATTCCATCCTACCACAAAGTAAAAGTTCACATACTATAACAACCAATCAAATTTTACTGTTTCTATCAACAGCCATGTATCATCTATACATTCACCCTACCTAACAGTACTGGTTATAAACAACAAAAACAATTGTCACTTTCGATTTTAATTAATGAGGTGTTTTTCTATTACTAACAAGCAATTACTTATGCCAGTAAATATATGTGCACCACACAAAAGAAAACCTTGGAGGCAATTTCATGTCATATCATATTTTTTTATTAATATTATCTTTAATTTAAATTGGTACTGCATAGAGATTTTTTGAGACATGCTTTTAACAAATTATTGCATTTTTTCTTAGACTCATCTTACTTGGGAACATTTACAAATAGAAAAGTTCGGTCATACGAGTGTGTATTGATCCAACAATTAAAACTCAACACTACAATTGTGTGTTATTCACTATTGTACACACACATATACATACCCACATAAATATGTGTTGATATGACGGTAAAAATTAAAGTTCATATATTGCACACACCAAATTTTCCCTAAGAATCTACAGTATCTATTTAGTTGCTAGCATCCCTCATCTAAAATTAGGTTATGAATGTTAAGGCAAGTAGCTGAAAATTATACAAGAACTAGTAGCTGATCCTGTGCACACGCACAGATATAAATTACAAAGTATTATAAATTATGTGTTTATATAATATTAAAATTATAAATAAATAATGTATATATCACACTTTTTAATTTGATTATTAAGAAATGAACAATATAAATATAAATTATTTAACTATAAAATAATCTATATATTGCTTGCATAAAATGTAACACATAACATATATTTGTTTGTTTGTTACTTAGATAAAAATATTGAAACAGTAATATTTACTGCATAAATTGTTTGAGGGGTTTTTTCATGCCGTTAAATTAATTATATGATTAGAAATCTAATATTACTTTTAGAATAAATAGCTTGAAAAAAAATGCAATATAATTTTTGATGATTATGTAACTTACATAAACCATTTAGTTTGTAATTAGTTGATTTTAGGTGGGAAAAGTATGCTATTCACATTAATTGGATAGACTACAATATATATATCAGTGACGTTTTTGTCGGTAAAGTGTCAGGTAGGTATAATTAAATAGGTTTTATTTAATATTTAGCCAACAACAATTATATATATATAGATAATATAGTAAATAGCTAAACTGATTAGTGTTGCTTAAAGCTATTACTATTTGCCTATTTGGATAGAGTCCAGCTATGTGTGCAAACATATTATTATAGGCTAATTTACTAAAACATTAAGGTATTTTGGATGCATCGGATATGCCTTAGTTTGCTAATTTTGAAGGTAAATTTGGTTTGACATTATTTGATAACTATATATTTAAAAACAAATTTTCTTATCAATATTGGAGTTTTTTGGGATAGAATATTGTAAATTTAGAGTGTGATTGTTTCTAAACTCAACCAAAAAAAATCAATTAAAAGTTAAATTTAATTCAACTTTAACTCAATCCTACTATCTTTAATATTATCAATATAATTAAATAATATCAACCAATTATTTTTACACATCACATTAATTTTAATTCACTATTTATACACTCACATAATTTTAACTAACCATCACTTTCAATCATTTTTATTTTACTTTTATATCAAATAAAATTTTAATTATTTTATTTCAAATATTATTTTAATTTAAACTTAAAATCATACTAAAAATTAATTATACCTATTTTTTTAAAATTAGTTATGGTCAACAAAAAAAACTAATCAAATCCATAACATCAATTAATTATTTATTAATGAGCTAATTGAATAACACAAATAAATAAAGTCACGCACACAGCGTGCTGAGAAATCACAAAAGCGAGAAACAGAAATTCCATTAAATTTGCGACCGCCATGTCGACGGCGACGCTGACCCTCGTCCTCCTCACCTCCCTAATCGCCGTCTCCCTCTACGCCGCCCTACGCAGGCGACGGCTTCCACACCCGCCGCTGCCGCCGGGGCCGAGGCCGTGGCCGATCCTCGGGAACCTACCGCAAATCGGGCCGAAGCCCCACCAGTCGATGGCGGCGCTGGCCCGGGTGTACGGCCCTATCCTCCACCTCCGGATGGGGTTCGTGCACGTGGTGGTGGCGGCGTCGGCCCAGGCGGCGGAGCAGTTCCTCCGAGCCCACGACGCAAATTTCTCGAGCCGTCCGCCGAACTCCGGGGCCAAGCACGTGGCATACAATTACCAGGACATGGTGTTCGGGCCGTACGGGCCGCGGTGGAGGCTGATGAGAAAGATCTCCGCTCTACACCTGTTCTCGGGCCGGGCCCTAGACGATTTCCGCCACGTCAGAGAGGTTAGCTGTATACTATAGATACATATATACGTATAGCGGCATAATATCGTCGTATTATGATATAAAATTTAATTGATAAATATTTATGAAGGCATTTTCTTGAAATTCAGGCTTACTTTTGCTTT